GACGTCATGTTTATTTGCTAATTTTCGTTGGGGAGTTCTGTCCACTTGTTCGGTCTTCGGTCGCAATAGTTTACCAGAATAGGAGTTTGTTTTGGGGCGCCTACCTTTCTGGGTGCCTATCTCGGTCGACGGCAGACACAGAATGCTGCCAATCATAAGGGGGATTCTCTATAGGGCATTGCTCCTTGTGCCTCTCTAGAGGGGGCCAAGGTTCTGGCTCGTGGTCCCCTGTAGGCAAGAACTCCATGCATTGACTGATGCCAGAATGTTATACATATTCATTCAGCCTGGATAGCTCCGGGGAGCCGACGGGACCCCCCAGAAAAGAGGTGTTGATAGAGCAAGTGCCAGAAGAGGTCTGTTCCTTCCCAGCTCAGGCAGGAGTTGCCACAAAGAAATTATTACCTAATTATTTCAATGCCTCTAATTTTTTCTCAATTTTTTGCAGTAATATTCAATAGTGTGTAGTACGATACATTTATATAATAAAATGTGTGAATCATCGCTTCACTCAAAATTATGATGTGCATATTAGCGATTCAATTATGTTCATAAAATAATAAATACTTTTACAGTTATTACACTATACCTGTATACACAGGTTATGTGTAAGTATTGTAACCACTCGATTATCCAGGATTCGAACATCCGGAAAACGCCTTTATACGGCCAAAATCGTGACCGGAAAAGTTCTCAAAATCCAGCCAAAATGGCCATGGGCGCCGGATAAAAGCTGGTTTAGCCGGAAAAAAAATTGGAGCTGGTTAACTTGCTGCCGATGTTACACTATCCAGACAGTCAGCCGGATAATCATTGCATTGTCCGGATATGAAAGCCATGGGGCAGGCCGTACCGTATTAATCCCGTCTGCCTGTGGTTCGAGGTGCATGGTGGAGGACGGGGTGGGGTGGGTTAGTGGTGTCGATTGAGAGGGGAGCGTTGGGAGGGACCACCTGGGGGGATAAGGAGGATGTGGAGCGGCCTATACACTACAGTACAGGAATTACCATTAATTTTAGAACAATTCATCATAGCCAAAATCAAAAGAAATACTAGTAATTATGTAATAAAAAATAACATACAAGTTTCCTAAAAACAATTTACACAGGCTGAAGTTTCCTTCAAAAATATTTTTATTTTTTTCCTGCTGGCGGCCTACGTAACGTGCCTCCTCCCTGCCCCGAGTGGACCCGTCCAGGCCTGGTCAAGCCATGTGCTCTCTACCCTCGTGTTACACCACAGTGCCGCGCCATTAGTGAAATATTTTTTTAAATAACTTTTTTATTTTGATAGTAACTTTGAAAATTTTGGCCAAGACTGTCTGGTAGCAGCATGAATCGTTCTGAAGGTGTTAAGAGGAAGAAGGTTGTTCTAACAATTAATAACAAGTTACGTGTTATACAACTTTGTGAAAATGGCCGGTCAACTTCAAGTGTTGCCAAGGAATTTAATATAGGCACTAGTACTGTTTCTGATATAAGGAAACAAAAAGAGAAAATTCTGAAATACATTACAACCTGTGAAAGTGAAGGTGCAAGCACTAGCAGAGGTTGTGATAGAAAGACTATGAAAACTTTGATGCATGTACAGTTGGATGGGGCTGTGTACAAGTGGTTTGCTCAGCACCGCACAGCTGGCGTGACAATTCGCGACCCAGAAGTACAAAATGCTTCAAGTAGGTTTGCAGCAAGCCTTGGAATAAAGGATTTCGAAGCCAGTGAAGGGTGGGTTGCAAGGTTCAAAGGTAGGCACAATATTGTGAAGATGAAAATTGTCAGTGAAAAATTGAGTGCAGATGAAAGCAGTGTAGAACCATTTAAACAGAAATTAAGAGCATACATTTTGTCAAATAATTTATATCAAATTCTTATCAAATTTATAATGCTAATAAAACTGGGCTGTACTGGAGGAGTTTACCAGAAAAACCTCTAGCAATGAGAAGTGAGGGTTGTGTACCAGGCTGTAAGGTCAACAAGGACAGACTGTTGGCCATGATGTGTGCGAATGCCGACGGCACAGACAGAATCACGTGTGCAATTGTTGGCAAATCAAAAAAAACCAAGACCCCTGCAACATTGCTTAGACAGACTGCCAGTCAAATATTATAACTCACAAAATGCATGGTTTACACAGATCTTTCTTTCCTGGTTTCATGACATGTTCTGCAGGGAAGTTCATGCCTATCAAGTTAAGAAACTCAAAGTAAGGCCAAGCAAAGTTCGGGCTTTGCTGCTTGATAAGGCGCCTGCCCACCCCAAAATTAACACGTTAACCTCACATGATGGCAAGATAATGTGTATGGCACTTCCGCCTAACACAACCCCTCTCATCCAGCCTATGAATCAGGGAGTTATCTGTGCCACGAAGAAGCTGTACACCAAAAAGATGCTGAACGAAGTTTTGGTGGTTTTGCCTCTTCCAAATGATATTGAACTCGGTGTAGATAACAGGGCTAAAAAAAATCCTTGAGAATTTGAAGAACTATACAATCAAGGAACCCATCTATAACTGGGCCAAGGTATGGAGTGAAGTAAAGGAATCGACTTTGAAAAATTCCTGGAAAAAACTCCTCACGTTTAAGGTCAGAAATGAGGAGGATGAAGAAATGGATTTTGAAGGATTTACAGATGAAATCCATGGAATGTTCAGCAGAAAGTAACAGAAATGCCGCCGAAAGCTTAGAAAGACAGGATGTGGTTGATTGGCTTGAAAAAGATGCCAATGACCCAGGATATTGTGTAATAAGTGAAGATGAGATTCTCCAGTCTATTACTGGTGAGGTCGACGAAGAGGAGGAGGATGAAGAAGGCAGCGAAGAACCAGCACCAATGACCATAAAATACAGTGTACTCATGACCTATGTTGACGGATTAATAAATTTTTCATCCAATTGTGCTTATCCTGAAGTTGGAAACATGTATCAGTACCTGAGGCGAACCAAAGAGCTGATCATACAACTGGCCAGTGAATACAGAAGGCAAGCTACACTTGATTCTTATATTGTACGAAAATCAAGCCAAGTGCCTTCAACAAGCAAGGCGTCACAGGCAACCCAAGCGCCTTCAACAAGTGAGGCGTCACAGGCAACCCAAGCGCCTTCAACAAGTGAGGTGTCACAGGCAAGAAAAATGCCTTCAACAAGTGATGCGTCACAGGCAACTCAAGCGCCTTCAACAAGTGAGGCGTCACAGGCAAGAAAAACACCTTCAACAAGTGATGCATCACAGGCAACTCAAGCGCCTTCAACAAGTGAGGCGTCACAGGCAAGAAAAACGCCTTCAACAAGTGAGGCGTCACAGGCAACTCAAGCGCCTTCAACAAGTGAGGCGTCACAGGCAAGAAAAATGCCTTCAACAAGTGATGCGTCACAGGCAACCCAAGCGCCTTCAACAAGTGAGGCGTCACAGGCAAGAAAAACGCTTTCAACAAGTGAGGCGTCACAGGCAACCCAAGCGCCTTCAACAAGTGAGGCGTCACAGGCAACCCAAGCGCCTTCAACAAGTGAGGCGTCACAGGCAACCCAAGCGCCTTCAACAAGTGAGGCGTCACAGGCAACCCAAGCGCCTTCAACAAGTGAGGCGTCACAGGCAACCCAAGCGCCTTCAACAAGTGAGGCGTCACAGGCAACCCAAGCGCCTTCAACAAGTGAGGCGTCACAGGCAACCCAAGCGCCTTCAACAAGTGAGGCGTCACAGGCAACCCAAGCGCCTTCAACCAGTGAGGCGTCACAGGCAACCCAAGCGCCTTCAACCAGTGAGGCGTCACAGGCAACCCAAGCGCTTTCAACCAGTGAGGCATCACAGGCAACCCAAGCGCTTTCAACCAGTGAGGCGTCACAGGCAAGCCCAGTGCCTTCAACCAGTGAGGCGTCTACAACTGCCAGTCAAAACTAACTTTGCTTAATGAATTGTACAGTAATTTTAAGTGTTAATTTTAGTGTTGTGTTAGTATAGGTTACGTAAATTGTCAAGAATTTTTAACTTCAAAATGTGTGGCATCAATCAAGAAGATGAACAACAACAAGGCAAGTTGAGGTTTCTAGTTGAGTATTTAATAATTATATGTGGCAAGGCAATTTAAATTATTTTGTTTGTAGTATAAAAATAGTTGGAAATGGTTAATTTTGGACTCGTAGGTGAAAAAGTACTATTATCTGGAACACGTGATTATCCGGCTGGGAGTTCTTCCCATATAGACCGGATAATTGAGTGGAGACAGTATCTGCATGTTTTGTTCACGATAATGAACTACTAAATTGGAATTGAGAGTCAAAAAGCAACAAGCAGTGGTTGCCACACCAGCCACTCGCTGGTATGGTGAGTGCAAACAGTAACAGGTGGCCACACAGATTCAAAGGATGACGCTACAGCCCTCCCTCACTCAACATTACCCATCCCACAATACTATGCACAGCGCAAATTATCACAACAATCCTGCTATTATCAGAATCCTGGTCATTTTTATCAGTCAGGGGTCTTCTGTAATACTATCATCGCTAAATAATACCAGTTACATATCTTTTTTACATTTTTAGGCAATGCTGTGGTCACAAGCTGAACAGCAATGCTGTGAGATCAAGCTGCATGTGCCAGCCTTGGTGGCTCACTCAGTACTGAGGCTTTCACACCAGGGAATGTTGCCCACGATTTTTTTTAAATGGAGTTGTTTACAAGAGCCCTGAGGAAGCTGATGTGAATCCCGTGTAGCCACGGGACTTTTAAATCTTGCATGGTACTCCCAATCATCATGTGATGCCATGCGCAATTTGTCAACAGTTACTCAAAGCATCATGTGAAGCTTTGCACAGTTTAAGGGTTATGCACAAAAAAAATATGAAAGCATTTGAGCAAGTTTGAGAAACAGTTACAAGTCCATACATACATTCATGTATGTATGTATTGCGCTGTTTAAGGGTTATGGGAGCCACTGTTTGGCCCATCCAGAAAAACAAATTTTCTTTAAATTAGAAACAATATGAGCTCATTCCTAAAACAACTCACCTGATCTTGTCTTAAATTTTTTCTTGTCTTCTCCAAGAACTACACCAAATGGTACATGATCTAAACGCGTCACTGATGGCCGATATATTCCTGCTCTTTTCGCACACGCGAGGAGGCTCTGCAAATAAAATTGTGGAAAAGGAATAATAAACACAACTGATACATCTGTGCTGTACAAGACTGATATGTCTTTCAGTACAAACCATATTAGATACAGTATATTGTATTATAAAACACCAAAACTAACCAATATGACCAGATGTTATGCAACATGACCCCTTGCTACCCACAATGACCCCTCACTACCAGGTTCATCTTAACACTTTCGGTCTCTCGGCGCTCAAAAAAAAAACAATACCCCAGATGCTTTCGGCACTTCGCGCGCCTACGTGGTAAGACCGAAAAAGTGTACACTCTTTTGACTGTCCTGACAATAATTGAAGGCGCACGTATTTAAATTTGGTATCACTGTGTTCACAATGAAATTGTCTATAAGAGCATACCTATAAAATGCCGCCCAAGCATAAGGAGTATCAACACCAAATAAAAAACTATGCAGATCACTCGCCGAGAGCGCCAAACAGCAACAAAATGTTTCCACTCTCTTAATGGTTGCGAAGCCTACAGTTGTCCTACATCGCTAATTTTGGTATCATTGGAATCGCAATAAAATTCTCTACACGGACATATGCATATGAATGTTTAATATAGGTAATTGCCTACCCGCAAGAGTGTGTGAAGTGGAGAGTAGTTAGCCGCGAGCGCACTGGCGAAAACACGGGGGGGAAATCATGCTTGGAAAGTTTATACATTTAAACGTTTCCCGACCCTACTTTTCTATGTACGTATTTCTTTTTTATACCAATGTGTTCGCAATAAAATTTTCTATAAGATGAAATGTATAACAATTGTACAAAACATGTGTAAGAGAAGCGCCAAATATAGAACCACGTCGCTCAGTATGCGTTCGCGGCAGAAACGAACGCATTGTTTTCGTTCGTTTGATGTTTGTCATGTTTATACTTGTTGAAACATTTTATAATTTGTATGACAGTGATCGCAGTAAAATTCCCTACACAGACATATACATAACACATACAAATATTTCCCACGTGTTGGATATATCAACGGCTAAAGGGAACCCACTGCCACACTCCCGCCACACCCGCCACACCCCCAAACATACTTTGTGTTTTTTTTTTTTTTTACTCATAGAAGTTTATGTGATATAATATTCATTCTGGTACCAAAAAATTTGCAAATAAATTCTCTACAAAACGTATATAATATAACTTCTTATAGATGATAAAAAATTCCAAATAGGTGTACTTACCCTGTCTATGTTGATCGAAGATCAACAGTTGAGTATTTTTTCTTCACTCCACCATCTTCAGGCTTCTGATCCTGAAGTTGCTCATCTGATGTTTCTTAGGTGGAGTGAAGCTGTTGCCGGTGGTTATTTTTTCTCCACCCAAAATATCTTTCTTCGGTGGTACCTTGTGTAGCAAGGCGCAGCGCACAGTGCCACATCACAAGTTTTACATCCATATATCACGTCCCTCCTTTTGCCAGACTTGAAACAAACACGGCATCTTCTTTTTTTAGCCAAGTGCACGAGTTCATGCGTCAACTTGTAGTTGAGACGTTGTTCTGAATCTATAATTCTTCTATTTCTTGGATGCACTGGAGGAATATTGTCTTCTACAGGAACCACCAAACTTGTAGTAGAATCTTCTATGAAATCAGAAACATCAAGTGGTTCTATGTCCTCAATGTCCATTTCAGAATTTGTGGTTGATGAGTGGGCTTGAGGTGTTGAGGTGAACAGAGGACGCCTCGCACCAGATGGGCCAGGTGTTGAAACTGCCGCGTCAGCAGGAGGAGCTGCGCTGGCATCTATGTCGGGAACATGTGGTATGCTTGTTGTTGTTGGCCATTCCTCGCTGTTCCACGCCAATAAGGCTTTTATTCCTACTGCGTGAAACTCTAATAGTGTTAGTTTTTTTGTATCTGTTCAGTAGCGGTTATACAATGCGTATGCATTGTGCATGGCCATTTGCAGAAAATAGAAAGTGATCTTCTTGGTCCATTTGTGGGTTTTTCTTGCAAACTCATAATATTTGACCATTTGATCAAAATGATCAACACCTTTCATGAACTTATTGTAATCCACTATGGCCTTTGGTTTGTTCATTTTCACAATTTCTACTCCAGTTCTCCTGTCACGTTTACGAACGCGTTTCCTGCGCTGTGCTTGAGTAGTGTCGGCATTGTGGATATTGGTGATGACAGAGACTTGTCCTTCCAAACTATAACATGATTTCTATTTCCATGAAAACTCCATGAATGAAACTCCATGAAAACTATTTCATGGAGAAAAATCTGAGAGTATCCCCATCCATTTCGGTTAGAAAATGGAATTTATAGAAATATTTTTTCGATGGACTACAAAAGTAGTCTGTTATGCGGAATCGTAAGAAAAAACGGTGACGAGCTATCTCTAATCTAAAGCGCGAAAGTGTTAACAGTATTGTAGGACCTGGGCAACGCAAGGCACAGAGGCACCTGCCTAGAGGAAAATGCACTCTAGCAGCCCATCAGGCCACTAGAGTGCATTTTATGTTCGTATATGCACAAATTATTTATACAGTACAGTATTATTGACACTTTCGCGTCCCTGGTGTTTCCCGTAAGCGCGCACCCATACTAAAATGTGCATACTTTCTTCAGTTTTCTCACATCAATGTTTGTGTTTCATCGTTCATTTTGGTATCATTTTGGTATGTTTACCACTCGATTTAACAGCCTCTTATTTTCCGTTTTGCCAGTTCCAACGACCGATTTTGGAGACCGGTATCTGGAGCCTGAAATACCGGTCTGGTAGTTGATAAAACTGTAGGTCGGTATTGGGTATGTTTTGGCATCAGCGTGGTAAGCCATGCTGATGGTAAAAACACATGGTAAGCCGCCACCACCCTCGATCGTCCAGATTCTCAAAAGTATTAAATCTCACCATTTTTTTTAAAAGCATAGTTTAATGAAGCAAATTATAAATTATTATTAATCAAATATTTGGAAACAATTGTTATTAAGTAAAAGTCAATTTTCTTATTAAATACCTTTTATAGTATAGGCACTAGGTATTTTTTTTCCGACGGATATGAATGTACCGTGTTGGGCCATGTATACTCATTGTTTACTGTGGACCACATGCAGCTAGCTTCAATTTAGAAGGACATTACTGCAGCTTCTGCCGGCAATGAATGCTCTACAAGCAGTGCTGCATCTGCTGAATTCCCATCAACAAGTTGTGCAGCATCCAGCATATACCGAGTTCTTTGAGGCTTACGGTCCCCAAGTGGGCATTTGAAGGCATAGACGACGTTGGTCTCTTTTAAAGCGTTCTGCTTTGTGTCTGGAGAGTTTCTCATGAGTAGGTTGGCCATTTTTTTGGTTTTATAGTAAATCGTCAATTGTATCTTCTGATTTTTGTCTGTAGGGATAACGTTCCTATTAACAATATCGTTCAGGACCCTTTCCTCCGTTTTATGAGCTGTGGAAAAGAAGTTCCTGTAAAATAGTCTATTAGGGGGTACAGGTGTTGTGTTAGTTGTCTCTTCAGAGGTTGCATGGCGTTTCACCTTCCTTCTTATGATGTCTTCAACGAAACCTTTGGAGAAGCCTTTGTTGACTAGGACTTGCCTTACCCTACAGAGTTGTTCATCGACTTGCTTCCATCCTGAGCTGTGGCTGAGAGCACGGTCGACATAAGCGTTAACAACACTTCTCTTGTACCTGCCTGGGCAGTCACTGTTGGCATTTAGGCACATTCTTATGTTTGTTTCCTTAGTGTAGACTGCAGTGTGGAAACCTCCGCTCCTGCAGATGTCTGACATCAGGTACCTGTGTAAAAATGTTGTCAACATACCTGCAGTATATGGCCGGTTTCAAGTTCATGTCGACTAAGACCATCTGTTCGATGGTACCCATGTAGAAGTTCACAAACAGGACACCTAGGGGAGAACCCATGGCGACCCCATCTACTTGCTTATACATGTGCCCATCCAGGCTCAAGAAGGGTGCCTCTTTAGTACAAGCTTGGAGTAGTTTCCTTAGAATGTTTTCTGGTATGTCAAGAAGAGTACAGGCCGGATCACGATACACTGTCTGCTATCATCCCGATTGTTTCATCCACAGGTACGTTGGTAAACAGTGATTCTACGTCCAACGAGGCTCTTATCCCTGCGGCCCGTGTTCCCAGCAGTAAGTCAACATATTGCTTTGGAGACTTCAGGCTGAAGGCGCAAGGGACATAAGGGGTCAGCAAGCCGTTAAGTCGCTTTGCCAGTTTGTACGTGGGTGTGGGTATCTGGCTGATGATTTGGCCGAAGTGGGTTTCCAGGCTTGTGTGTCTTGACATTTCCATACCCAGGTTTGTATTCCCCAATAATCTTTGGCAGGTGGAGTCCGGATTTCTTGGCGTTCACAGTTTCGATCAATCTGTTAACCTTTGCTTTCAATTCGGCTGTAGTGTCCTTCGTTACCCTTGGGAATATAGTTTGGTCAGAGAGTATGAGGTTCATTTTCACCAGATATTCGTCTTTTTTAAGAATGACGTATATTGGCGACTTGTCACCTCTCCTGACGACTATCTCCTTGTTCTCACGAAGGCTCTTAGCTGCCGCTTTGAGCTCGGGGGACAGTATGGTGCTTCTGTAGTTGCCTCGATTCTTTCCTCCTCCTACAATAAGTTCTGCTTGTAAGGTGTCTTTGGTGGTGACCTTCTTCCAAGATCTGATTCGAAATCAGATACACAAGGCAGAAAATGAAATCAAAGACAACAAAACGCAACCACTTCATGCTACAAACCAATGGAGAAACAGCAACATCGACGAAAACCTCCGTCTCCTACTTGGACAGGGTAAGATAGCTGCTGTAGAAACTAGTATGTTATTAAGCACTTAGCCACTGAAAGCGATTAAGATGCTTTTACAAGCAAGAGTTCTTACTTTCTTGTAAAGCCACTAGAATGCATAGCATTAGCCTGCAACATGCCTAGGAACAAGAAATAATTTTTTTTCGTCTTGTTTATTTGTTTTCCCTGACCATGGGGGGTGG